CAATATAATAAAATAAAGAAATGAGTTACAATTCTAACTTATTAGTCAGAAATTGCACATCTGAAATAGATGCCGGAACGATCAACTTCATCTTTCTTGAAGCTATTGACGCATGAAAACGTGTGCTTCTATTTGGATTTAGGACGATGTTAGGGTGCCAGAAATTTTTTGACACCCTAGGTGACATACACACACAATAGGGGTGGGTGGGGGTATGTTTTTGCATTTTTTATTCATGTGGGGTCAGCACGGGTCCCATCCGAATGTGAGAGTATGTCAACCGGGTGGATAAGTTTCTTCTGGTAGAGGAGCTTAATTCTTGGATTTAATATTACACGAGTCACATGATGCATCTTGATCTAATATATGGTCTCCTATGAGTAGGTATTTCGTCCGTGAGTACTAATGAAGTTGCAAGTATTATGAACAAGCCCTACGCTGCGGGTGCTGGGAATAAGTCCCGGACTATACTGAAAAATACCAAATGTTTATATTGATGTCCATTCTACTATTTAAATATATTTAAGTTGGCCCCTACTCATGTCTTGTGTCATGTTTGTACTCCGAGCATATGAGCTTCATACCTTTCGAACTCAAAGAAAGTTAAATTTATGTAGTTCAACTCAGAGTACGAGTTATACAATTTTATTGTTCTTTCTTATAACAATGATATATTTGTTTTAAAGGTAAAATTTAAATTACTTTGAAGTAATTGAAAGTCGTGTTTGGTCCCATGCAATTTGAGACGGATTCGAACGCTGCAACTAGGAAAAATAATTGGTACATGACGAAAATTTTATTTGAAAGTGTTTTCCATCGTGACACATACTTGAGATAACAAAGAATCTTTATTGTATATTTAATGATGAGGTAACACATAATTAGATTAGAAAAACGAGATTAACATTGTAAAGAGGACAAAAATATGTGTGCACACGTTCCATCTATAGCCGGTCAAAACAGCTTTATTTCGAAATTGATAACAAAAAAAAATAGTTATCGTATTTTTATGACGAATCAAAATTCATAAATTATCATAATTATGTTCAAAATTTATGCGAAAAAAAAATTAATTTAAGATTCCATTAATATTATTATGGGGAATCTCAGAAAAATTAAGGTGAAAGTGACATTTACGCCTTCATATTTTCGATTTTACACCCCCCAATTAACTTAAAGTACCTCCTAGTATATGATCACGAAATTGTATCATTNTTGTTTAAGTCTAATTTTTGGATAAAAATTTAGTTTGAAATAATATTTTGTTGGTGAATGTGTGGTTGAAAAATAAACAAGATTTTTGATTTAAGCGTAATATTATTTTATGGAAAAACGTGTGATTGAAAATAAGTTTAGAAAAAAATAAGTTTTTGAAAGTATGGGGGCTAAACACATGCTGAGTAAACTGTTTGAACACTCACTGAACTTTAACATGGTCACTACTTACTCACTGAACTTCAAATTGCCTCTAAATGGTCAATGAACTTTCATTAATTGCACCACATCCAACACTCAGATGGCAGTGGGGTGGGCACTTGGAATCGAGTTCAGTGACCATTGAGAGACAATTTAAAGTTCAGTGAATAAGTCGTGACCATATTCAAGTTCAGTGAGTGTTCAAACAATTTACTCAAAGCATGCACAATAATTTGTATAAACGTGATGATTATGTGCATCCAATGCAATATGTTTAACAACGAATAGTTTATTAGCAAGAATCAAATTATTATCATCGAGATATAATGATACTAGATATATGTATTGATTACTATCAATAACACAGTATCAAATGTAAAGAAATATTACATCTTTAGTTTAGGGAGAACAACTCTAATTTTTCTTTCATCTTAACTCAGTTTACAAAAGCAGCCAGCTTGTGAGCTGATCGTGAATCAACTCGAGCAGCTCGCATGAGGAAAAACGGTGCTTGACTCGGGCGTTGTTGCTATCTCGCCCCACTTAACACCCTTAACTTGAAGAGTTCGTTAAAAATGATGAGATGCAAAAGGAACTAAAGGGTGGGGACTGGAAAGTCTAGTTCTCTGGCGTTGTTGCTATCTCGCCCCACTTAACACCCTTAACTTGAAGAGGTCGTTAAAAATGATGAGATGCTAAAGGAACTATAGGGTTGGGACTGGAAAGTCTAGTTTTAAAGGTTGGGGCAAATTTCTCAAAAAAATATAAGTTAGGGAATAATTGTACAAATTTTCACGAAGAAAGTAAGATCAAGGTTGAAAGGATTTGATCACATCGACAACAATATAGAAACAAGAAGATTTTACTACCGAATAATGCTATTTATCATCCTAATGAAAAAGCATTGGTAATGTGACAACTTTGATAGAATAATGAGAGATGACAGTTCAATTGAACTATCATATTTCATTATTTCACTTAAATTGTCACATCACCGATCTTAGATAATTGTAATAATAAATATCATTGTTAACTGAATGCTCAACCTTTTATTTTCTTACATTTAAATCTTTGACCTTCAAATTTCATAGTCAATCATTTATTTGGACGGTTTCGTTTAAATGAAGTCCCCATCCCCAACCCCTCAAGAAAAAGGGAACTTTCACTGAACCAACTGTAGGTTTTGGAGCTAGTTAAGTTCCCCAACCCAGCCCTTGCAAGCTTTTCACCAAAGGCAAAATTGAACTCCAAGTGAGAGAAGTGAAGAAGCAAATTCAAATACACACCATCTTGAATAATATTGTGATTTATTATCAGTACAATGTCTTAAAACATTTGTGCTCGTTGGACTATCACTTGCCTCGTTTAGTTTACCTGTAGGAACTAAGCACTTGAACTTCATAAGTAGTAATAGATGCAATCCTTAAATTTTGAGTTCAAACGACCTGTCTAGTACTTCCTCGTAAGGAGAACCACTGTATGTGCTGCAATACTCCTATTCTCCCCAAGGCTGTCAACTTTTTCGTGAGTTTTTGCTTTCAGGTTTACAGCTGAAGGGTCAGCACCAAGTAGCTCACACAAATTAGCCCGGATCGCCTCCTTGTGTGGGCTTACTTTAGGTCTTTGCAGAATCAAAGTGGCATCTAAGTTTCCAAGTTCATAACCTGCCTCGTGCATTAGCCGGACCTAATATGAACCATGTCACGAGAATATCATAGATTGTAAAAGAAAATCCATCCAAAATTACGTGGTTAGTAAAATCTCAATGCTCTTACATGTAAACTATAAAGAAATACTATCAAACAGGGCCTAAGTTTTATTTGTAATTTCCAAGGAATTCTTCTACAGATGTCATATATTTAAGTCTTGTTCCATCCTACCTCATGTGCGACTGCAATGAGACTTAACCAGGTATATCCTGTGGTACTAAATCTGAGAAGCAGATAATTTCAGGGAGCAAATTATGCGTCGATGAGGCAAATTTTGTGAATGACAAATAAAGAAAGCCAAGACCTTCGGCAAATTTACAAATGCACCACTCATTTCTATCTATTTATAACTTAAACGGTTTATATATTCTTCCCAAATGGAGGCTTACATATAACAGAAGGTGTCAGGTCTTGAAACACATTATACTAATAAATTAGATGAAAAAAAGTGAAAACTAGCCACAAAATTTTATATAATTTGACCTCAAATACTGAAGTGCCACCTGATAAAGGAAATTGAGATGATCCTGTTTTAGCACAAGCTAAAGAGTAAAAAATAAAAATAAATATAGTATATGTATGTGTGAAGTGTCCAAAACACCATATTCTATAATCAATAAATGGGAAAGACAAGCTAAAGAAGAGCTCACAGCTTCTTTGATGAATACGGACGATGCCGCGCCTTTCCATTTAGGATCGTTATCTGGAAAGATTTGCCCTATATCTGGAAGCCCCAATGCCCCCAATATAGCATCAACCACACAATGTAGCAATACATCACCTAGAAATATGAGAATTATATCAATCTATATAAAAAAATTTGACAACCATCTTCAAAAACTGAACGTTACTCTGCTGTTTATCGACTCTTAATGGAAGTGATAAACTATGTTATTTATTGAGAATTGTGTTCGTTCTAAGCATCTTCGCATTTAGCAATTTCCCACAAGGGCTCACATGCACGTTATGAAAACATGAGAGTGAGCTGGACCACTCAAGAAAAGCAACAGGAATAATATGGTTTTACCATTTTTGTAATAGTACAGGTGTCCCAAATTCAATCCTACTTTGTTGAAGTTATGTTTCACAAAATTTCAACTATTCGTAAAAAACATTATTGGTAATCTACGCTTTTGATAAGTAAATTAACTAGAATAATATAAATTACTCAATCAAACAAGATAGAGTTTCATTTGGGACTTTGGTACTGAAGGAAAATATAATATGCAAGTTAAAATATTATCCAATTATAACACTGTTATCAACCCAACTAAAAGAAATGCAATCGAAAAAGCAAGAACGCTCAAGATTTATCGTCCTTTGTCGTTAAATCACCTCCATCCATGTGAGCTCAAACTCGAACTCTCTCAGCACTATATAAAAGGAAGGTGATTCAAACTAAAAAGTTCAGACTATAACAGAACTGAATTATACCAAGAGAGGCAAAGACTTGGAAATTACAATAGTGAATTTTTTCTAGTGCTCAACAATTATTCCATTCTTCTCACAATGAATTCCAACTCCTTTGACCTTTCAAGAAATATGTTGATGCCATTTTCCTTAACCACAGATAACTCTACTAACAGTTTGTAAAACCACATCATCTAAATGCATAAGCTTTTAAAGAAGCAACATATTTATTTTTTCAAAATATTATCTTCACTACGCCTTCTCACATATAGGTTGAATTCATTTATGATTTATCATCAAAGGCTTGGCGTGTCAATAATTTTTATAAATGGATAGCTGTAATTCTTAAACCGGGGACTTCTATAATTTCTGACTGAACCATCTCCTCTAAAGCTCTAAAAGCTTATACTTTTCCTGCTTTTAGAGGAACAAATTTCTTCACCTCATCTGAATGCTTAAACTTTTAGGTATGAACAAAACTTTTTATATAAAATTAGTCTTCAAAGAGTTTCTAATTAACTGCAATAAAAAGATAAGCCTTACTGGCTTACTCCCTGTTTCTAATCTTTCAAAATGACGCATCACAACGAACTAATTGAACGACAGTGGAGTTTCAGTTTCGAAACATACAGGTAAAATGGGATGCGTAATTTGACGCAGAAAGTCAGAATAACTATGCATATCACACAGTGTGTAGTCTGATATAGTTCTAAATTTGGGACTGAGATTCTTCATAATTGTATTTATCAGAATAAAAATGAAAATGAAGTTAAAGTTAAATAATAAAAATACGAATGCAGACACATAAACACAAGTATAGATGTTATTGAATACCATCGGAGTGAGCTTCACAGCCTCTATCATGAGGAATATTAATCCCACCAATGATCAGCGGATAACCCGGCTCAAGCCGGTGCAAATCGAAACCGTGGCCGACTCGAAAAGGGAGCAATTTGGCAGGAGTCACGGATGAATTCTGAGTCTCGGCTTCCACTGCGCTGGTAGCCGACGGCGCCGACGAGGAGGAGTTTCTTGCAGTAGATTTTAGAGAGAGAAACAGCGAGTTCCGTGTAAAGCACGCGCTAGATGGTTTTTGCTGGAGGTGTAATTTGGACAGAATCTTGTTAGGAATTGGAGTTGTGTAGTGTGCTGAAGTCGCCATAGCCATTTGGATTGAGCTCTCCGCTGTGTGTAGAGCGCGAGAGAGGGGGCTCTGGTTTTTGACTTTTTGCGGTTAACTGGGAAATGAGAATAATGCTATAGCTCGTGTGGCACGGGTCTTGGTAGCCGTATATTATAATTAAATAATGTCCACTTGAAAATTTGCCCATGTTTGGCTATACTTAAAAATAAGTGAAATATACTTATCACTAATATTTTGTTTCGAAAAATGTTGCTCTTTTTTTTTTTTTTTTTAATCTTACAATTTGAATCAATAGCAAAATATAAAAAAACCCTTTTAACACATCTTATGAACTCCCTTTAATTCTTTGTGTTAAAGATTGATTATACCTTTGAAACTAAGAATAATGTTATTTTTCCAGATGTTTTTAACATTTTGGATGACAAATTAAGTTGTGGCGAAAAATTATTGGATGATAGTTTTGATTGTTTTTTAAATAGTCAAATGATAAATGTCACGCGATATTTTGTCATCCGAGAAGTTAAATTCTGACAGCCAAGCATGATTGATAAAACTAAATATGCCCGGAATTTTAAAAAAGTGCATCTAAACTAGACTTTAGCTTAGGTGTGAAACTTTTCCTTACAATCCAGACACATTTTATGTTTTTCTACATCTCGACAACTTAGACTCAAAATCTTGAAGTTTGATCTTACCGTCTAACCGTTCTTTTGATTACTTTCTAATATACTCCATTACACTTTTTGAATATTGATCACGCCATCGATTCTAAAGGTTCAAGATGAGTTCATAATCGGTGCTTAAGGCTAGACACTTGTAATAGGTGCTAAAGGCTAGAAACTAATGTGGAATTTTGCATTTTTCTTTTGAGGTTGTATAGTTCTTGCATCTTTTAGTAATTAATCTTGAATTCGACTAAAGAGAGTTGAAGTAGAATAAACAGAAATCTAAAATGCCAATTTAGTTACCATATTGAATGAGTAATTAGACGTAAAGTTTGAAGTCAAGGCTAATGAATAATTAGTCGTAAAGTTTGAAGTCAATGCTTTAACTTAGTTTATTTAATGGAGAAGAATATTAAATTAGAACAGAGAAGAATATTATTTTGAACGGTCCATTATTTTTAATTTATATTAAACTTGAAGCTTATCCTGCTTTACGCACTATTACAGATATAATTTGTACCATGTCATCATTGCCATTTAGCATTTTCGCATGTCAAGCCTTATGGCCGAACAATCATGCTACATGTATAAAACATGGATTACAACATTCAGTTACAACCTCTCACAAGGGAGGTGGGACCCACGATTAAAATAATAGGGGACCCCATTTCCCTTGTGAGAGGTTGTAAGCCAATATTATAACTCAACATTGTACAAGGAGAAGTTCAGAGGGAACTATCCAAAGAAGAAGCTCTAGGATGCTTGTTTGCATGCTCGGGTGACAGATTTTCTGAAGCGGCTCTCTTGGGTCTCAGCTGAAAGAAGAAATGAAATAAGAAATCCGACTGGAAACAGATAGTTCGACTAGAGATTCATGTACTGGCTATGAAGGATCGATTTTTGATGAATACTAACCTTCTCTTCCGCACGCTGATAGAAGTGCCTCAGAAGTATATTTTTCGCGTCTGAATTTATCACTGTTATGCAAAAGGCAGTTAGATGACACGTCGAGCAAAAAGGTTTAGAAATGATTAAAACCCAACAACAACAAACTAAGTCTTGTTCTCAATAAATTTGAGGTTGGCTACAAGAATCTATATTCTTAATTATTGAACATGGAGTTTCCTGATTCCTTGGGCCCATACAAACCTCATTAAAAAGCAGAGCTGAGACCATAAACAAGTAATTAATCTCATTCTCAATATAATAAAATAACGTTAACAACATGTTTGATTAAGCTTAAAAGTTACTTAAAACTAACTTTAAATAATTATTTGTTCCCAAACACATTCAATAAATTCCTTTTGCCTTATTGTTAATGAAATTCCTTGTCGCATAAGTAGAGACCCGGATGAATGGTGCAATGACTGCCCCCACTTGTCTCTAACATGGACAGTGTGAAATTGAATTTTCCATGAAGACGTGAAGTACCAATGGCTAGACGGTTTGACCCTGTGCCCCTTAACTATAGCTTCAAAGTGATAAAATAAGTTACTTATCTTGATAGTAAAATGGAAATTTACTTTCAAAAAGACAAAATAACCAACGTCGACCCAAAAAATATATTATTATGTCAAAACTCACTTATTCACTTATAAGTAAACTTACTTAGAAGTAAATCTTTTTGTCTTAGCTAATATGCTCGAGGTACTAGACAAATTATTAAATCTCAGGATTTTAAAGATCCCTGAATCTATGAATAACTTATGTAGAATAGACATGCGAGAAAAGATTCTGTATATCCATATGTCAGGAAATATAATGATATGAAATCGTATACTAAACTAAGAAGTATCAGCTATTTACATTACCTTGATCAGGTGGTGGGATGGTCCGATCATGAGTTGGCCGATAAGTGATAGGAGTCTTTTTCTAGAGACAAAAAAGAAATATATTCAGAATACAAGACAAAGTGTGTATTTAAGTACAGAAGAACTTTTAGATCTTGATACCAATAAACTAACTCATTATCCATGATAAACAGCTTCAAGATTGAACCATTTACAAATGCATAAATGTCTTCAAGAAGATACTAAACTCCATTCAACATGAACAGTGATATGAAATTTGAAAAGAAATATTTTGAAATCATCCTCTTATTTTACAATTTCAGTCACTCTCCACAAGTTCTATGGATCAACAGTCTGCACTTTCTCTAAACCAATTGACTGAGTCCATTTGCATTTTGGTTCCAGCATAAAGCAAAAATAAGTTATAATGTTCCACTAAAGCACATGATAGATTAGAAATACAAAGTGAACTGAACTGCCTGGAGGAAAGAGTTAAAAGTTAGTATTAAGTCATCATGACATCTAAGATTTTCCAGATAAATCCAAGTATATTTTACGTTGATCAACTCCTCCCAATCACTGGCTCTATTTGTCACATTTACCATAAAACTTATGCCCCTGGCATGATCACCACTATCTTTCATGATCTCTGTTGTCTATTTAGTCCAATCAAATCCAATCTCAAATCAGAAACTCCGAATAGCAACATTTACACGTACGTGCCTTGTGCATGTTGAACTTGGGACATAAATAACAAAAGAGTGCAAAGATAGGATTAAATGTAAAGCCCAGAGAAAAAAACCCTTAACATGTTTACATAACTAATCAAGCAAAGCTTTAGTTTGTTAATAGAACTCTCACATTCACAATGAATAGAAACCATTGCAAAAGGATTTTGAAACAGCTGTTAATGAGCAAAACCCGGCTGCTCATGTTCATATCAGTGGATTTGCAGACTCTATTTTTGTTATATCTCCCCAGTCTTACCTTATTTCTGTTTCTTACCTTATTTCAGGTAAAACAGAAAGCAAGTTGTTAAACTTCAATTCTTCACTGTGCTCTCTCCTGACATTCATGCCAATAAAAATTGCCACATTAATCTATGCCCTATTCAATAGTATACCACATTAAACAAGAAATGCCTCAACTGCCAATAGTTTTTCTATCAGTCGCCGATTGCTTGTAAAAACATTTAATATGGTAACACAAATCTCCATTCTTGGCTCTATAATAATTCTTGGTTTAAATCTCCTCAGCTTCTTCATTTTTTTATTTTTTTTTTTTG